CTGCCGAAACCAGGACAAGTGAGAAACCCATGTTGTCTCTGCTGATTGCCCCACGAGCCGGCCCGGCTTCTGCTGCGAAGCTCCGGTCATTCCCTTCCCCAAATCAGAAACAGCCGTCCAGCGATTGACTTTAATAACGGGCCTTTCCCTGGATCCTGCACGGTTTCTATTTGTTTATTCAGCTTTTTCTAGGTAAGGTAAGAGCCAAAAGAAGAATTAGGCTGTTACACTTTGTAGGGGCTGAGCTTTGGCTGCCTTCTGCTGGGGCTGCACACTCAGATGCTGGAAACTCTCCTCTGGAGGCTGCGGGGGATCCGGGAGATCACGAAGAGAACATTTCTATCAGACAGCTTTGCAGTAACAGGAGAAAAAGTGGAAAATTTTTTCCTTCCTACTGCCCTGGAGGTGGGGGGAGGCGTTTTGGGAGGCAGTGGCGGGGCTGCCCCCCCCTGCCGCCAGCTCCCCGCCTCAAGGTGAGCTCTGCAGGGAGCCCCCAGCTCAGCTGAGCATGAGATGGGCTCAGCATGTTCCTTGTGTTTAAACACTTTCCAGCCCTTCTTTTTCCCTCTTTCCTCTTCCCAATGCCTGGATGCCCCATGGGGGGTTTGCCAAGGACTTTGGGTGCAGAGTGGCCCCGGAGCTGCTCTTTGCCCTCACTGCACCAGGGCCAGGCATGCCTCGTGCCCATCCCTGAGAGAGATGGGGACAGAAAGGGGTGAAAAAGGCAGTTTTGGGAACTGCAGCCCCCAAATCACCAAGCAGGTGAAGCTTAGCCTTTGCAAAGGTGGCTGTAATCCACCCACTTCCCTTCTCGCCCTTCTGGGACGCTCCGGATGCCCGCAGAGACAGGATGATTTCAAACAGCAGTGTGGAAGCCTTAAAGCCCTTTTTGACCTGGTATCTCCACGTAGGTCTGCCCCAGCTCTCTGCCCCGGGGGAGTCCCACAGCAAGGTGGGTTTCCAAACACCCTTAAATCTGCATTGGGTCAGGGAGGGGGAAAAAGCTAGTCCTCTCTGGGAAGAAAAGGCACTTTGTGGTTTCCCCAGAGCCTTTGAAAAGGCTCCAGGAGCCGAGGGGACGTACGTGCTTGTTTAAAGGTCTTGTGGAGGTCCGTGGAAATTAAATGGCGGAGTTCAAACGCTCGACGCCGTGGCCGTGCTGCCGCCTGGGAAGTGCGGCAGTCCGGAGCCGGCACAGCCCGCACCCCGGCACCACGGCGGCCCCACGGCCCCTGCCAGCGGGGCCCCCCTGCTACCTGCCAGGCGCTTGATTGAATCCCGGCTTTTACGAGTGCTGACACCGTAATCTGTTACAGATGGTCACACAAGGTGGTCACCAAATGGTTCCTCCTGTTAATCACCAGCTGCCCCCTCCCCGCCGCCCCCACTGCCAAAACTGCAGCCTGCGCTACCTGGATGAAACAGCTGGGCTGCAGGCAGTGGCTTTACGGTGTGTTTAGTTCCTGTGGCATTAAAACAGAGAGGGGGGAAAAAACAGGGGAAAAAAAACTGCTGTGGTTTCACTGTGAACCCTCTGCTTCGCCGTGCAGCACTCGTTGCCCAGGCAAGTGCAGGGGACCAAGGGCAGGGGACCACGGCACTGCTGCTAGCTGCCCTTGCTGCCAGGGATGCTGCTCTGGAGGGTTTCCTTCCAAAAATGAAAGGAAAAAGCAATTGCAACACATCCTCAGGCCCAGCTCCTGGGTGCAATTCTCCATCACAGAGCCCCAAAGGTATATGGGGGCAGGGAAGGGACAGAGGGGATTGCCCACATCTGCAGCAGTTTGAGCTGGACGCAAGTGTGTCCTTGTCATGGGCCCCAGCCCTCTGCTCACCCCAACAGTCCTCAGTGTAGAAATAAGAAATATTTTTTCAGTAGGAGAATGAGCAGCCAGTCAGAAAAGGAGGGCTCTGGGCCACATCCATCACCCTGCGACAGGGCAGCAGCTGGTCCAGAACAGGGCATAACCTGGGGAGGCCAGAGGCACTGCCCCAAGCTGCGGGACAGCATCTGAGCGGCCGTGGGTCCCTGGGGCACAGGGTGCTCCCGTCTGAGCAGCCGCAGGTCCCCAGGGTGCAGGGTGCTTGGGCAGGGCAGGGAAGGGAGCAGATGCAGCAGCAGCCCAAGTGCCAGTGAGCTGTGCTTTTGTGATTCAGAACAGGCAGCGTTTCTTTTTTCCAGTGTTTTAAGGCTGCATTTGTGTTTGAATGCCAGCGGGATTTGTCAGTCGGAGCCTAGGCTGTCCTCCACCCGTTTTATACCTTCTCTCTAAAAGCCTTGCATCCCAGCCAGGCTCTGGACAAAGCCAGGAACACAAGTGAGAGCAGGAAAGATTGCTAAGGAGGAGGTTTCTCACAACTCTCATCGCCTGCCTAACCAATATTAGTCGAAGCCCATTGAGAGGGAGCTGGCAGGGTTCCCCGGTGGGCGCCAGTGCAGGGATGAAGCAACAGCCTGAATGACACGGGAAAGGGTCCCCATCCGAATCGGTGACAGCCGTGACACACATGGATGGGGGTAAGGCACAGCCCGCTGCAGGGCCCTAACGCTAAGCAGTAACCGAGGGCTCTTGCATGTCAGAGCCGCAAAGCCAACACCGACCCGGGCTGGCGGGACGGCCCGCGCCGCCTCCCCGGCAAGCAGGGCTCGGCAGGCGTCTGCTCCCTGCTTACCCACTCCTCGACCCTCCTTTCCAGCTCCTGCAGGTGGTCCGTTCTCAAAATTGGTCTTTTTTTAACTGTTTAGCCGCTTTTGCGGCTCCAGGATTTTATGGATGGAAAGCTGAAAGTAATTAGTGCCCCTCCCCCGCTTCCTGTTGGGAAAAGGAAGAAAAAAGCACACACAAGAGCAAACCCAAAACTTCCTGCCCTGCTTAATAATCAAGTAATGAGTCCAACTCGGCTGGGAAAGTCAGTTTATACTGGGCGAGCTCTTAATTAAAGACGGGCCGAGCAGCAGCTCTGCTCGCTTTTACAGCCACACACATCTTCCTGCTCTGTAACAGTCCCTGGGAGAGGCGCGGGGAGCCGGACGCCAGCGGGCTGGAGGGGGGATGAGTGCTGGGGGGCGCACGCTTTTATTCCCAGGTTAAAAGCAATGTCCTGGAGATGGCACTGAGGAAATGCGTGGGGGGGGAAGAAGGACAAAATCCCAGACCCTGGGGGAGGCAGGTGGCAAGACCGGCTGCACTGTCCTTGAAGCACCCCAAGTTCGGAGGTGGCTGGGAAGGTGCAAGGCAGGTGGTTTGGGGCATTGGGACAGTTTCCTTATGGAAATCCTAGAGGCAAGTACCCGGGGTATCCCAGAGCACCTGCACCTCGGTCCTCTCCTGGCTGCGGGCACGCAGGGGACAGCCCCACCTGCGCTTGCTGAAGGGCTCTGTGGTGACAACAGGATGAGTCACCTCCGTGCCACACCACGCACATCAGGTCACCCACCCGGAGGCTCAGCTCACTGAGGTACCTGATGCTTTAGCCATCCCCAGGGAGGCTCAGGAGCCTGCCAAGAGCCGGAGGCAGCCCCACCACCCCAGCAGGGCAGTCCCCCGTGCTGCGGCACAGACCTGCGCCCCAGGGAGTGCTGAGGGACACGGCCAGGCTACGGGTGCTCCAGCAGACCCGTGGGGAAGCCAGCACCCGCCCGGGCAGGCTGGGAGGGACAGGGCAAGCCCTTGCGCTTTCCCATATGGAGCCAGGGAGATCCACTGATCCCTGATCCACCCCCAAGCCTGCATCACCGCACAGCTGCCCCTTCCCCAGCCCCACGGCAGGAACTGACTCAGCCTGCGCTTTCCTCCCTCCAGAGGCAACTGCTCTGCAGATCCCCTCGTGTGAATGCCACTTGCCGTTCACCTGCAGCCAGAGGCCAGGAGCACAGGATGGGGGCAGGAGAGCCGAGTCCAGCACCCCAACGCAGCCCAGCACCCCCACCCCACAGCACTCCCCACCCACACTCACTGCTGCATATTCACCCTAAGCACCCACAAAACCCTATTATAAATTAACCATTTTATTGAATATCAATAAACTGTATATAATTATATAAAAAGTTTCATCAGTACAAAATTGTGGCACAAAAATATAAATACCAGTGTACCTTTGAAATGTAAACATCCTCTTTGTAATGATTCCATGAAAACAATGTCCAAAGAAAGATGCATTCAGGAGGCACCTGTCAATACCCATAAATAGGGCTTTTGGCACACACCTGTCGATGGGCAGCCTTGGGACAGGCCACCATTGTATCAGCTGACAAGTGCCTGCTATTAGTCACAGTTCTCTTGAAAAGCAGTTGTTAAGAGTCATATTAACAGGTGCTTGAGTGCATAGCTGCTCTGTAAACAGGGTTGGTGTTTGAAATGGCTACCCATGCCTTTTATGGACACTGTTAATCTCGCAGGCATTGCAAATTGTCATTGTGCTGGGGAGAAGCAGCTGCTTCACAACTACTGGGATACTGTATTATTGCATAGTTACACCTTCTACAGGCGGCGTATATACACTCGGGGAGGGGGGTTAACATTTTGTCCTTCATTAAAAAAATATTGGTTCTTAAAAGTTACCAAGTGGTTACGGTAAAAAAAAAAAAACAACAAACACAACCCCCCCCCAACCCCCCCAAGCTACATGTTTGCAATGTTTGATACCGGCGGTGGGGCCAGGGTGCAGGTCCAACCCTGCAAGGTGCCGAGTGCCTCCGGCAAGCGGGGGCACCTGCTGAGGGGCTGCGGCAGCAGCGGGTCGGGCTCAGGGCTGTGCCCCCCGAGTTTCACGCACTCACTTTGCCACCCACGCTTTGCACCAGAGTCCAATCCTGCACCCTCAGATGCCGGGATGGGAGAAAGATCAGGCCTTCGCGTTGCACAGGAGGCACCGAGTGAGGAGTGTGAGGGTCTCAAGGGCCGGAGTAGCTGCGTCCGGCCCGGTGCACGCTGCGATGGCGACGGAGGAAACTAACTCCTACAGAAACTAGTTATAATATAGGTATTTGCGCGGTGAGAGGCCTGGGGGAGCGGAGTCCTCAGCGAGAGCCTGAGCAGCCGGTCTCCTCGTGCTTGTGGAGCAGTGACATACGGGAGAAAGTCCGGGAGCAGGTTTTGCATTGGTACTTCTTTACATCTGAATGGGTCTGCAGGTGGGCTCGGAGATTAGAGCGGTCAGCAAAGGCCCGGTTGCAGTGTGTACAGGAAAAGGGCTTTTCACCTATGGGACAAAGAGAAACGCTCCCAATTAACCAGTGCATCAACACATGGGGAATATCAAAGAAGGAGCCATTCATTAGCCAAAGTTTGTGAAGAGTACAGTGAAAAGAAGTGCTGGCTGTTATTGTTCGGAGGGAAAGCAGGGAGAGGTATGTACAGCATTCACTTTGGGAAAGCCACGGACTTGGGAATTTCCTACTCCCAGAAAAACCTCTCCTATGAGCCATGGAAAATTAATGCTGGAAACATCTGCAAGCAGCAAGGCAGTTGCACATACAAACGAAGACACGATATTCGTCTCCTGCCTGGAGCCAAGCGAACCGTTTGCAGAGAGGCAGGAAAGCCAAGCACTATGTGTTAATTATATCATAGCAGGCAGCGGCTGAAAGGCGCCAGCGCCAGGGTGAGTATAGCTATTTCCTCTGCCGAACCTCGCCCTCCCCCTTCTCCCGCCCGGCTCGCATTGAAAAGCCTGGCCAGGGCGAATTCCTCCCAGAAAGACTCTTTTGGAGGAAACAAATGTGTATGCTCAATTTGGAAAGCACAATTAAGTCTTCCCAGCTTCCTTCAGCCATCATCCTTAGTACGTTAAGAGGGTGTGAAATCAGTGCCAAGTAACAATTACACTATCCCCGCAGCCCCACAAAGGATGCTCGGGAGATGCATTGTATGGGCGGCCGTGGCAGCGGGGCAGGCTGCAGCTGCGGCACCCGGACCCGCACCAACAGGTGCAGGGGGTGGCCGGCCCCGCGCCCCCAGCACCTGCCCGCTGGTCTCGCCAAGCCTCGCTGCAGTGCGTCTCGGCAGCGGGTGTGCTTTGAGCTGAGCTCATCGCTGCTGAGCGGGACGGCGGGTTGGAGGCCACGGTGGTGGGCAGCCAGGTCTGGGGTGCTGCCCCGGCTGGGGATCCTGGCCAGGAGCCCTTGGTGTGGGCAGGGAGGGATGCTTCAGGCATGGTGGGGCACAGGGAGGAAGTGCTCCAGCAGTCTCACGGCCCCATTTTATGAAATTGGGCTGAAGCGTGTGCCGTCACACCGCGGCTGATGGGCTGGCTCGCAGGCAGGCACGGCACTAACAGCAGTGGCACAGATTTACAAGCTAAGCCTTGACCCTGCGCTCGGTTCCAGCCAAGAGGATATTTAAAGGACATTTTAGAGATGTGCCAAGGGGGTTTGGGAAGCCCTTATCTTCCGAGATAACACCCAGCCCACTGATTCGCTGGGGGTGGTGGAGCTGGGAAATGGGAGGCGATAAGGGAGGGAGGGAGAGGGGCAAGAGCCAGCGTTACCGGTGTGTGTCCGGATGTGTCCCTGCAGCAGCCAGGGCCGGGAGAAGGCCTTGCCGCACATCTTGCAGACACAGGGCAGCGTGTGGCTCCGGATGTGCATCTTGAGAGCCCCCAGGCTCACGTACTCCTTCTCGCAGTACTTGCAGCTGAAGGATTTGTGTGTCCGGATGTGTCCCTGCGGCAGCAAGGGCCGGGAGAAGGCCTTGCCGCACATCTTGCAGACACAGGGCAGCGTGTGGCTCCGGATGTGCATCTTGAGAGCCCCCAGGCTCACGTACTCCTTCTCGCAGTACTTGCAGCTGAAGGATTTCCTGGCCTGGGCATCGCAGTGCAATTGCTTGTGCTTGGAGAGCCCGGCGAAGGTGGAGTAAGCCTTGGCACACTGGGCGCAGCGGAAGCGCTCGGCGGCGGCGGGGGCCGAGGCCGGGCTGGGGGGCCCCGAGCTCTTGCCTTCATCCTCCTCGCTGGAAAGCGCCGTC